AATGATTTCAAGTAGCTTACTGCACAAACTTAATTGCCATTTTATTGTCAAGTAGATAGGGAACCTATCTGCAGCATCCAAAACTTCTTTGTTCTTTGTTGAACTTTAACCTGGACTTCCGTGTTATGGAATTTCTGCTCTCTTGTTAATATGCATCTCATACAGTAAAGAACTGAAGTAAAGATGCAAGTCAAATGCATCCTGGCCTGGAGTAAGGTTGCTTGTGATATATCCAAGGTGGAATATCAGGAAAACATGTGAATGTGATGGAGTAATTTTCATTTTTGATTTTTTTTTTTTATCTATACTTCCCTGTACATGTTCTCCTCCTGTAAAAATGTTACACACCCATCTCCCTACAAACTGGCTGAAACTGCTTCTGAATGCCCTTGATGCTCCCATGTGCCCTCAGACCAGCCAAGCTTATGGCCCTGTGGGATAAAAAGTTGATGTGACCTGCTTCTCTGCTACAAAACCCATTTATTCGGGTACTTGGACATGTGAGTGTCTTGCTTCCTGAGACATTCCTAATTCTCTGTGCTCCTAATTAGAAAATGCAGGTTGTTCCACAGAGATCCATGCATTGCTAGGTGGTTGTACAGGGGCTGCAGGAGTACCTGGCAAGACATCATTTGTCTGTACTTTCCTTTATGAGAAAGGAGAAGTGCATGCTGGTACAACAGAGAGGTTTCTGATGGGCCAGTTGAAGGCTTTAGAAGTGTTTGTCTCTGCAGCAGACTCTCGTAGTACCTGTGCCATCAGTAGGAACAAAGCTATGAGAAAGGTCATACTCCTTTCTACATAGAAATGAAAAGCAATCAGCTGAATAAACCCAGAAAAACTCTCCAACTTTCTCATTACCGGCCAAGGCATTTCTTGCTTTCCAACCAGCTATTTATGGGGAAGAAATCCATTCTTGAAAAGTGGCATTGAAAAGATCATTTCTTTATCTGAAACTCCTTCTAAGCCTCATGGTGGTACAGATTTCTAAGAGAAGAGCTTGGACTGAGAGAGTTAGGACAAGCTTTTCTTTCTCTCCTAATCGCCAGATTCTTCACAAAGACTGTCCCAGTATCACTTATTATTCTCTATGCCTTTTCTCTCGTGTTTTTGAGTATAATAAACTAAGTTTCACCCTTAGATAACCTTGTGTCCCTACAAAATTTTATTTAGAGGTCTGCATTCCTAAAAATAATGCATGAATGAAGCGTTCCAAGCAGCAAACCGCAGCTTCCTGAGGTATCAGTGGCTGTAATGCAGTTTCTAGTTCAAGGATTTTGTTTTATAAGTGATATAACATTGCAGAGTCTACATCCAGTATTGCTTTACTGTGCCTGTGTTTGTGGTTTTTTTTTAACCATTTTTGGGTGCAAAGCATATGTCATTTAAATGACTAACATAAACAGAAGATTGCTAAGGTGTGTTTTCTGTGATATGCGTGCCCACTCCTCTACTTAACAAGGTTTCTTATCTATATAATGCTTATAGCCTGCAATCAAAACACTGCCCACAAGTTCTAGTCATATATTTTATCACTTGCATAATGAAAGTGCATTTACTTTTGCAGAGGATTTTGGTCTATTACTCTGATTATGGGTATAAATTGTTTTTGTGGTGTCAAAAGCCATGTTTGCTCAAGAAAACTCTTGTGAAAACAAATCTGACTAGGATTCAAAAGCCAAAAGTATTTTGAAAAGGCATTATAAATGGTAAATTATGATTTAAAGTTCATTTGTCTGGGACAAAGCCAAGTACAATAGGTGTTATGTTCCAAAATTAGTACAGTGACATAGAGTGGGGAGAGGTGAAGGGGAGAGTGAAGTGATAATTTGGCAATACCAAAGTACTTAATTTTCTTAACAAAGTTCTTAAATTTTAATGCAATTCCATTGTTTGGATAACAACCATACACTTTTTAATTACTGGCAGTAAAACTAAGGATTTAAGAGCTAAGAGTGTTATAGTTGGAGGAAGCTGTAATTAAGGCCCTGTTTTCTTATGGAAAGCAGAGAGTTCCAACAGAGATGGTAGTTATATGTGAACTTCTATGTAGACTATGTATTGATGAATTCATGTTCTCTACTCTTACTCCAGTGAGTTCAGCAGTAAAGTGTATCCTAAGTAACTTCTTAATTTGTGTCTCCCAATGTGCTGTTTCAGCTCTAAGGTGATTTATGTAGTAGTAGTTATAATTTAATCTGATTGTAAGTCAGAATTCCTTAATTCTATATCTTTTATTGTCAACTGAGAAAAAGAGGTGTAGAACAAAGTAAAATTTAATGGATATGGTTAAGAAATAGGCTGGTTCTAAAATATGCACTGTGTATGTATTTGCACTCTATTGTAGCCTGTCTGCTTCCAGAGAGTCAGGGAGACACTGCTACTACTGAACACAATAACTGGAAGATTGTTATTCGACAAATAAATGTGGGTGTACTTAAGTATTGTCAGTCAGCAGGTCATTACATACAACTCAGTCTAGACCATCTTGGAATCACTGCAGAAACCACTGGCATAGAAATCCCTCTTAGTCTGATGGGCTTCCCTGGGGCAATATTTTTTAGTTGGGAAAGATGCTGTGGAGCTGGAGCTTGGAGTGGTAATTGCGGCAGCTCCTGTGTGCTGGAGCTCTCACTTTACCACAACGTTCCAGGGCTGTCAGGGTTTTGGCTGCTTTCTCCACTGGCTTCCCAGGCACTGTGGAGAGAGCAGACTGGTGTGTCCTGGTGCTGAGACATTATGCTGGAAGGGTGTGAGTGCCTGGGAAGCCCTGTGATGCCAGTTCCCAAGTGCCTGTGGTCCTGCTCTCGGTGCAGTGAGCTACTCGTGTCAGATGGGCAGCACCAGAACTTGGCTTATCTTTGAATTAATTGTTCCTATGTTATTCTGCACTGGAATGAAGACTGATTTTGACACAGGGAGGTCTGTAAAGTGTGATATTTTCTCAACATTCCTGCAAATGAGAACGACTGTTTTTGTACCATGGGATTTTGAACTATTAGGTAGATTCAGCTAAAGAGTTATGTAGTTAGGGAACAGAACACCTTACAAAACTTGGTTTAGAAAGTCATCACACTAGTGGTATAGAAGGATAGTGTGACATATAAAATTTTCTTCTACTTTTTCTGTATTTAACAATCGTTGTTGGATTGGTAGATTAATTGTTGGTTGCAGAGTCAAGCATTTGTGGTGATTTTATTTGAATTTTAATGGGGTAGAGTTCATGTCTCTAGCATTAAAGTTTATTTTGTGAGCGAGTTAGAGTAACCAGAACATCTTGTGTGAGTTTGTGTAAACAGAGAATTTTGCATGTGAGAGTTTGGCTTTGAGGCAACTTTTTCAGAATCTAGTTAGAGCTGTCTGTAGATAAACTGCTGCAGTGCTGCGAAGAGGATGTGTGGTCTACAATTTAATGTCCTGGTGGACAGTGGTGGCAAGTGGTGTCCCTCAAGGGCCCACACTGGGCCCAGTAGCGTTCAATATCTTCAGTATTGACACAGTGGGATTGAGTGCACTTCCAGCAAGTTTGCAGAGGACACCAAGCTGAGCAGTGTGGATGATGTGTCTGAGGGAAGGGGTGCCATCCAAATGGACCTGGACAAGCTTGAGACATGGACCCATGGAAACTGCATGAGGTTCAGCAAGGTCAAGTGCTGGTGCTGCATCTGGATTGTGGCAACCCCCAGTATCAATCCAGGCTGGGGGATGAAGAGATCGAGAGCAGCTCTGATGAGAGGGCCTTGGGGCACTGGTGAATGAGAAGCTGGGCATGATCCAGCCATGGGCATTTGCAGCCCAGAAAGCCAAATGTGTCCTGGGCTGCATCAAAAGCAGTGTGGCCAGCAAGGAAGGGGTTTCTGCCCCTCTACTCCACTCTGGTGAGATCCCACCTAGAGTGCTGCATTTGGCTCTGGGGCCCCCAACATAAGAATGATGTTTGTGATAGGACAAGGGATAATGGTTTGAAATTAAAAGAGGGTAGATTCAGACTAGTTATAAGAAAGAAGTTTTTTACAGTGAGGGTGGTGAAATACTGGAACAGGTTGCCCAGAGAGGTTATGGATGTCCCATCCCTGGAAACATTCAGATTGAACAGAGCTCTGAAGAACCTGCTCTAGATGAAGATGTCCTTGCTTACTGCAGGGTGTTGGAATTACATGACCTTTGAAGGTCCCTTCCAACCCAAATGGGTTTGTGGTTCTGTGAAATTGTTTTTCTGTCTATTTTTTTAATATATGAATAATTTTTAAAAGCTAATGTAAAATGAACACATTTTACAGTGCTTGAGGCAAAGCAGAGCTAAGCATAGCACCATGTTTTTGTACAGGTGTGTGCCACAATTATGTTTTTCTCTCCAGCTCTGGAGATGAAGGAGGCAGCTGTTCAATGAGGACCATAGTGGAGAGTGAGGGAAAACTGTTCTTTTGGCACCTGGGTTTCTTTTCCAGTTTTTGTGTTTAACCAACCCTGGAAAAGCACACAAAATGTTGAAACACAAAGTGTTAAGAATGACTTTCCAGGTCACAGGTTATGTTTTAAAGCAGACTCATGTTGTTATGGTTCCTGATAATATTTTTGGAATTAGAAACCTGTCAGTGTTTCCATTTGGAGATAGGGAGCTATAACTGGCTATAAAAATATGTTCCCAGCCAAGGCATGCCATATGAGGTTGTTGCTGAAAAGCAATTAAAGGCTGTCAGCTTTGAAATAAGAGGCACATCAACAAGATTGGGAAATCTGCAGTTTTCTGTTGGTGCTGAATTTCCAGGAGTCAGGAAATGTATGACGATAGGTGTGTGGTGGCTGTTCAGTGTCTGCTTTTATGGGTCACTGTGCAGCATCTGGGCTGGGTGGATGATTTTGGTTTGTCTTTAGTGTTAGGTTTTCCTTGTGCTCTGGATGTCATTTCACAAATTAAGTTCTTGATAGATATTTTAACACCTTCTATCCATTTCCTAAATCTTTTGTGCAATTGGTCCTTTTCCTTTGGTTCACCACAGCTTTAAGTAGCTGCAGCACATTCCTCCAATTTACAACGCTTCCCTGACTCGCCAGCTGGGCTCCACACATAGCCTTGGTGCTCCAGGAAGGAAGACTTGGCATCAAGTGAGTCTGGGGTTAATGAAAGCCTGGAGTGGGAAGTTATAAAAATCAGATGGTTACAGTAATTTTAAGGGGCTGTACACTGAGTTTAATTGCTCTGTGGGGAATGGTGATATGTATATATGAGGAGTGGAGAAGGAGAGAATGGGCATAGTAAGGTGCCATTATTTCTATATATTAATGTCCCTCTTCCCTCTCATTCCCTCTTTTCAGGAGATTTGATATATTTTGGCCAGAATTCTAGTCTGACCTGACTGCACTGCATCACCAAATGATCCCTGCAGAAAGCTTGCAGAGAGGGGAAGCTGCTTTCAAGATCCAGTTTTCTCCTCTGGCTGCAATGAGATATTTAACTCTGATAATCACACATGATTATCTTTCCTGCATTTGCCATGGAAACTCTAAATCATCTACTTTATCTTCTATCTTGATCAGATTCTTACCTATTTAATTTTTTTTTTTTTCAGACAAATGTAAGATAAGTTTTTTTAAAAGGAAAACAGTCCCAAAGTTAACTTGGATTTTGGTTTGCCCCAAACCCAGGGTCAGAATCACACAGGCCAATGCTCCTGCTCAGGTGGAAAGAGGTAGTGGATGGAGGCAGGTAAAGGGCTGATTGTAATGACAAACTTCTCATGAAATTGCTGCCTGCAATGCCCAGTGTGGAGGCAGTGGTGCAGACTCAGGAGTTCACAGCTCCCTGTGGAGCCACTGGTAGTTGCTGTTTGTACAGGGCTTGATGCTTCCATCCTTGTCCCTTTGTGGAGCAGATGCTTGATCTCAGTGAGCTGGACCATCAAATCTTGTCCTGTTACCCTGACTATAAGGAGATAGTGATGTTACTTATAAGTAACATGATGAAAATGAGGAGTGGCTTCATGTTTAGGGTTATGCTGTATCTTAATGATTGTAATCTGTGGAAGATGAGTGTTTAGGTAACAGTGAATAGTACTATTTGAGACATGATGATTTCAAAATTAAAAAATATAGATAATATAACCTTGTAAATATAAAAAATCTTTTATAAGATCTTCTGTGGGACTGTCTTGAATTTATTCTCTGTCATTCTAACTCCATGGTTTTTAAAGGTGGTTGCTTGTCTTGTTGGCTTTGCAAAGTCAGCATTGTGACAAAAAATTCTTGTATAGTTCAAGAAAAACAAAATAAAATTGCAACCTATATTCTGCTTTTGCTTACATCTTTTAATTATGAAGGCCATGTTTTTAAAGTAGTTTAAAAGAAAGCATAGGGAGTACAAAACCTTTGAGGGAAATACAAGCCCTTTTTATGACATTGTTTAATTAGTTATTTTGTAGGGCTGGTTTTGGTAAGCAGTATAAATGCATATGTACATGTGTGCATGTATATAGATGCACACACATGCTCATAACTTGAGCAAACTATTCTGGCAAGTCCTTGAGATTCAGCTGTGGAACACCACTTGATTGGTTTAGCAGTCATGTTCTGGAGAGGAACTGTACTGTGAAGGGTATTCTAACTTCATCATTTGTTCCATTTTAAAAAAATATACTTGATGTTAGGATAGCTTGTTTTCTGTATGCTTCACGATGTCAGAAAAATAATAAAAGCAAACAAACAAAAACCCAGTACTATAGAGATTATGTATCTTGAGGTTTCATTTTAAGTAAAGCGTTCAAATATACATTTCAATATAAATGTGTTTAATGATGTTTTCGCAGCGGCAAAAAATGTGTTCTGACTTCCTAAAAATATGCTTCTGGTGGCAGAGATGAAAATGTCCTTATGATTCTCAGCTGCAGCTTTATGTGTTACAAATACCCCTAAAAATCTTAGAAACTAAAAACTAAATCTGAGCTACAAAGCAAGAAATTAATTTAAATATATTGCTTTCTTCCCATGAAATAACTATGAAGAAAACAGGTTTATTAGGGGTCATTTGAGTGTACTCTCCTTCCCAGGACACGAGCTTTCATTTCACATGCAATGAAATAAATTTTTTCTCAGTCATTTTGACATCTTGTTTTAGAGCCCAGACGTACCCACATGAAGGCTTTTTTTATTACACACAGCTTTGTGAATGGAGAACCTTTTTTTTTTTTTTTTTTAGGTCTTAATATGGGACTTCAGACAAGCAAATAGGAGGAGGCATGTTTAGCACTATTGATTTTTAGGCTTCTCTTGTTAAATAACAGTGTGGCTAGGATTTTCTTTTCTTAGGTGTTGTTATTTGGGCTCTCCACAGGCTTTCTTGAGAAAGAGTTTTTGCCTATCTTAACAGGAAACACGTATTGTCTGCTTTCACTGGGAATTTATTTTTCTTCCAGTTAGTTACTTTGAGTCAAAATGTCTCATAATGGGAGTTGTAATCATGAGCAGGTTGGGTTAAAGACCATAGTTGCACCAAGGCTGTACTACACCATCCTTTCTTTCTGGAAAACTACCAACAAACATTTATCATTCAGAAAACTGTACCAGGAGACTTACAACTGGAGCATTCCTGACTGCTGCTGTTTTAGTTGAAATGACTGGAGTCTGTTCATTTACAGCAATCTTGAAAACAAACCTGTTTGAATATCTATTTAGCTGCCAGATTTTCAGTGCCTCATTGGAAATTTTTTCTGCATTTTTCAATTGGTGTTTTTTTCAGTGGCTTATGTAATTTTTGTGTCTGGTGGTCTCTAGAATGAAATGTTTTGAGAAATGATAGGAGAACTGTGGAGGAATAATTTCTCTTTTATGAAATGCTCCAGAAATGAAATTGTTCTGTTTTTAATATATTGAACTCTTTTCTCTCTTTTTAAAATAAAATATAAGCGCATGTAACTTCTTTAAGCCACTGACTCTCCTTCCATTTAGAGATAATGAAGTTCTATGATCTCACTTTTTAGAAAGAGGAAAGAGTAAGAAAGGCTAAATTTATGTATCCAAGTCATAAAAACAGCTTTGCCCAAAATACTGCTTGAACTTAGGTGTGTTTTATCCTAATCCGAGGGCTCAGTGAGCTAGTTCATTCCTCCTCTCAGAGGTACAGCCTTTGTAATAAAAGGTGATAAAAAATAGTGATTTTTGAGCATATTGTTATTTGTTTTGTTTTGACCAGGAAGGACTGTTACTTAAATACGTTGACGAGTATTATTACCTTTTACTCAGATGTACGCAGACTGAAGATTCAAACCTGGCACAAAGCACTCCAAAGGTTACTAAACTATGTGTCACAGACTACAGCAGTGACCAAGCAGCCACAAACAACTTCTGGTCCTTGGAAAAGTGAGAATTATCTAAATGAAAATTGCCCATATAGTCCCAGCTAGTAAACCATGCCACATGCTGCAAGTCTGAGCTGATTTGATGAAGAAAGTTCCTTTCTGTATGTAACCTGATAACTAGCTTGACTCTGAGTATGTTGGAGACATATATGAATTAGACACGAGTTTTGATTTAGCATATTTTTTCCCCCTCATTTTGGTCAGTCTCTGATCATTCAGAGGAAGAAAAAGAATTTTCCTTCATTCTTGGGAAGATGTATTTGCTGGCTGCATATTAATGTTGATAACCTTTCAAGGTTATTGGCTGGGCCCTGAAGTATGAGACTATGTGTAATTTATAAACTAATGTGTCTCTGCTCTTTTCAAGAGTGATTTCTGTGGGGAGTTGTTAGCAGGTTGTTGGCTAGTAGTGGATATTGTCTTGTTGCTTCCCAAATTTCATGTCATTTGAGCTGAGCTGCATTGCTGCCTATAGATCTTTTCCTCTGGTAAGCAGTTTTTGTCTCTTAAGATGACTCCCTTTGTGTGGGAAAGGGTATTTCCAGCTGTGAAGATACCCTTTTTGTTACCTTATTTGCAGTTATAAAACATTTCTAAAATGCTTTATTTCTATTTCATTCATTGATGCTTGTTGTCTCCCTCCATGGGAACTCCTGTGTAAATAAATATACTTGGACATTCAGAAAACATTGCATAGCCTCGTGTGCTGTTATCTATTCCTCCTCCATCAAAGTGTGTTTCACATCATGTAGCTCAAGCTGTCTCCTTCTTCAGGCAAGAAGTGAAATCTGGTACTTCACATGCAGGTTGTAGGACCACAGGGTGAGTCCTGTGGAAGTGACCTCTCTGGCAAGATTTTGGATTTCCCTTAGCAGGACTTCCCTGCTTGAAGCAGGGGCAGGTATGATGTCAGACCAGGTTCATTTGGTGTTATCTATTTGGGGCTTGAAACGGCTGTGCCTTTGTTCAACTGTTAGGAGTGTTGTGACACCACTTGGAATCTTGGAACTTAATGAAACTGAGTAACTCTTGGAGTAATCACAGCATCCATGCGGCTTTGAATTTCCTTCTTGGGCAAGGATAAGATAGTATTTCCTCTCTGCCTAGTGTTTCAGGAAAATTTTGACAAAAATTTGACTTGAGTTGTAATGGATTCGGCCCAAGAAGACAACATGGAACCTTAAGTGCTCTCAGTTTTCTAGTGTAAATATAATCATTATTTACTCTCTGCCAGCTGCCATACTCAGGAAATGCAGTGCTGTATCTACACAGTACCCAACTCAGTTTCTCTTCAGACAAATCCTGTCTACCAGGAAACTACTGGCTTAGCCCTTCACAATACTCTGAGGAGCAGTTTCCTTCTGTGTGGTCAAAGCGTCATTCTCAACCTGTGATGCCTAGCCTGAAACTCCAGTTCCCTCCATCAGGCTTGGACCTCTGGAAAATCTACCTGTACAGGTGCTCACTGAAGCTTAGGTCAGAGCTAGGTTTTCTCAGTGTAAAGACCTGTGCAACATTCCTTATGCAAAACTTCTGATACTGTGAATATAACTTTACATGCATTTTAAATTTCCCAACTTAGATATCTATATCTAAGGACATTGAATCTTCCAGACTATTCACAGCTATCTAAACATTGAATTTCTTCATTCCTAGAGGCTACCACTTTCTGTACCTTTTCATTTAATAGTGTTTTTAAAAATGAACAGTGCCAGTTCTGTTGAACAATAAAATATGACAGTATCAATAGCTAAGGTGTGGTCATTAGTTTACTGGTACCTAATATAACAATGCACATAACTACCTAGTCTTTGCTTCTGTTTATTTCTGCTGGAATTTCTGTATGAGTCCAGATTTGGTATCTATGAATTTTAACATATGTTTCATTTCATCTTCCAGGAAAGGAAAAGAAAGACTTCACTTAATCTCCTTCTCTAACTACATTTTTTTTTCCTGTTCCTCAGTCTTTTCTACTGTTACTTTTTCAGTAAAAGTATGAAAAGGTGAAGTGAAATATCAGCCATCATTCATAAAGTCTTCTTGTATATCATTGTACTTTGTGTCTTAAGCAGAATGTTTTGGATCTTCACGTCTATAGCTTCAGTGCTGCCAACAATGTTTTGTCTTCTGTGGTTTGGGTGGATCTGGATTTGGAACTGTGTTTTTGTTGGAATGCCTCTACATTGGATCCCTGCAG